AGAAATACACAGATAGTGTAGAGGCAATGTAAAAGTACACCAACTTGTCTTCAGGGAGACTCTTAAGTGCACGCGAATTCTTTGAAACGATTAGCAGTATCGGTTAGCGTGGCAGTTTTACAACCAGAGAGGCCGAAGTGTCTTCTCCACTCTAGTTGAAAGGTGGGAATCATTTCTCCTCCACCTAATGGGTTAATCGAAATTCCCTGAATGCTTGTCCAGGATAAAAATAACTAAGTTATGTAGATGTATCACCGAAGCACCTGGAATATCACAAACCTCCTCTCCTTACTTCAAATTAAGAATGGTTCGGGCTTTCGGGATTTGACTAGGTCTTCAGTTTCCCGTTTATAAAGTAAGTCTCAATTGTAATTTCAAGAATATTTGAAAGCGAATAATTGTTCACTTGTCAACCGTAGTTGAAGAGGGAAATCTGGAGATTTTGTGAACTGCTCCTCATCACACTGTTCATGGGTTTGTTCATATATGCTTATCACCAGCGAAAGTGGTCAAAGTGTTTGTTTTAATCACGAAAAAGCAGTTAAACAAAAATGAACTTGGTTCACTATGAGCCCCTGGTTAAAATACAAATTCGTTTTTCCCATTGTGTTTAAAGCTTATTCAAAAAATGGAAGGCAAAGGCGGACAGGTTGAGTAGAATTTATTAATATAGTCGAGGTTTTAAAGGTGTTTTACATCTGTTAAATTAAGAATTTTTTGAGTTGTCCTAACTACATTACTGGCCTTGCTCGCTGTATCATTTTCAAAAGTTCCAGTCCGCAATTCCGTTATTTTGTCCCTAAATCGTCATTGTCCTCATCGATCTGCGGGTGCACAGGCCCCTTAGATTGTGGGGTTAATTCGAGGGGGAGGGGGGGGGGTACAGTGTTGGAAAGGCCTAGTTTACAAGTGTTCCAATGCTCGTTTATTAGAATTTTACCGTTTGGTTTTTTTGGCAATAGTTCACACTTGAGATGCTTAGGCCTTATTATCTAGTGTATTTAATTGCCCGTTCGATTGGACTTGCTATTTCCCTTTAGCAGGACGGAACTCGCAAGAGTTTACTAATTAAGATCGTATTGCCAATCCTTATCGAGGTAATGTCTAACTCACGTTTCCTAAAACCGTGGCCAATGAATTTGAGAGTGCTATTTCCTGTCTGGTATAATCATTTAACTCTGTCCTGTCTATTGATTTATATTCATTTAGACTGCTTTCACGTCCATAATCTGACCACGTCTGTCTCGCCTTGCATTTTGGTTATGAGTGGGTGTTCAAAAGTCCCATTAGTTAGATCCTTGTTTCAGACAAGTTAACGACCGACAATTCTTTTCAAAACACAACCACCCATTTTCCAAATGACACGAAACATGAGTCACCGTGAATTGTTTCACAATTTGCGAAGTCTCTACCTTTTGTTCTACCAGCCTTTATCTTACATGCAAACAAAAAATCGTTCACATGGTTAGGCTAATTGAAGGCCAGGATCTTAGCCCTATTCTTTCCACTATAGTCTCAAGTACCGTTTCCTTATTTTGGTTTGCTTGCCATAGTTTCAATCACTGCGATTCTCTCTCAATGCCATTAGCTTCTATGACTTAAAAATGATAACAGTTTAAACAACTGAAGGAAATACTCTTACTCCGGTGCATGGGAAAATATGATTATGACCTCGGTGACAATAAGTTTAAGCGATGTCGCAGCCCGGTTAAGTTTGGGAATTACAGACAGGGTGAAGCCAATGCGCTTCCCAAGTGACTGTCATCTGGGCGTCTGGTTACTACACTTGTACAGGGTAACAGTTGGATCTGATTCTAATTTGTGAGTACTTTTATTCCTACCTAGACTGAGTTCACTCAATGCGAGCTCTCGTTGACTTTCTTACTAAAGCCCAATTAATTGGTTCATTAAAACAATAATTAAAGGTAATTTAAGTTTAAAGTTTTACTGTAGTTATAACCAGAATAGGGGGGGGTGGGGGGACATTGTTCAATCAAAAAATGGCTTTATTTCATAAATTTTGTCTTTTCAACCTTCGTTGGAATATATTTCATGTTAAATGGTATTTTTTATCTAAATAAACAAAATCCTGTTACAAATTCTGTCTAGGTATTGCAAAACGAGCTTAATCAAAAAGACACATTTTCTTCAAAATGACAAGTTTAAATAATCCCAGAATCACAATTATAATCGTGGAATTTATCTGTAAAACACGTTACATGTGTAGCATATCCATCTCCGAAACAAAAAATTGAAAGAAGCAAAAAATAGAAATTTTTCTGCTAATTTAGATTTAAAGTTAGCGCCCCTATCGAGCGAAGTTAATTTGTCCTTCATTTACTGCAATAAATCGTTGTTAAGAGGAGAAGTAAATCATCTGCTTTCCGATCCCAAAAATACTTCCTTAAAATGAATTAAATAAATCATTTCCTCTTTGCACGACTTGGTGAAATTTACAGCGTTTTTTTCCCTTTCGTTGCTTGGTTGCTCCGTTATTTGTCCCCAGGGGAGCTTGAATTTTAGATCCTTTGACAAGTTAGTTAATTGAGCGCTATTGGGCATTTCTGTGTTGGGAAATCGTAGCTAAGGCGTTTTTAATCCTTTGCTCTCACAGCGTCACTTTTTGTGCGTATATGCCTGACTATCGATCTCTCATTGACTTTCCATTGTGTGTTCTAGAATATTCTCTCAGTTCCTCAAATTTATTTTGTATTTATTATTTGACATGCTAACTTGCATTCTGTACCTTGAGCTAATAGTAAACCATAGGTTTATATGAACGCTTTCAAACCTTAGCATGAAATTTGCTCCCATTTTTTAGGGTCTGGACGGTCCTCATCATTATCAAATCGCCAATCGAGGAGGCCTGCTCCTAGCTGTACCTGCAGACTCACTTTGGGTGGACATCCTTCGTTTCTCAACTGACGGGGGTCGTTGTTGGCACAACATTCCCCTCACACCTTCCCCCAAACCCACATCTGAAGATGATGCGAAGGTTCATGAGGGAGCAAATCAATCACCTCCACTACAGCACCACTCCATCACTTCTCCAAACGCCTTGACCCTTCAGAATGACACATTTTCTAGCCCAGATCTCGTTGAGGAAGAGTCGGTTGTCTTCACTGGTCTCGTTACAGAACCAGGAGGTCGAGCGATGACAGTAGCGGTCTATGGCTACGGCACAGTTACCCAACGTTGGCGAGTCGCCGTGGTGGATTTCGCTAACAATGGTTTCATCACTAAGAACTGTAAGTTGTTTATTCTGCCAGAACGGTGTCTTGGCCTTCTGGTTCATTGTTTATACGTTCGTGCCAACGTATTCGGTGTGAATGCTTGAGATTGTTTATCCTTCCTGGTGCCAGTCTGCAATAGGATTCGCTGGTTTATGAGATAGAGGGAGCTTCGCGCATGTGTTGAGTCATCAAAGATGTATGCGATAATTTAGACTAGCCAGCGATAATTAGATGTGATTGAATCCCACATCCCCTAAATGGGTCATTTGAGAGTGCCTATTAAGCGTTGCACGTCATCATGTCTACTTGAAAATGATCATTATGATGGCTGAAAACTCATTTACTGCGGACTGAACAAAAGGCAAAAATATGTTTATATTGAAGTTTTTGCTCCTTTCAAAATCTGGCGACTCATAATCAATTTGTGTTAGGAAAGAACCAACCAAAATATGCTATTGTGCGAAACAGGTCGTGTTTTCTCATGCATTTCTCGCGCCTCCGGCAGTTCGCTCCGTTTGTAACTTGGGCACTTCTTAAATGGAAAGCTGGAAAGTTGGGGATGACATTTATCTGTTGAGTCCCATCGCTCTACCCACAAACACGCCTTTCTAGAAGGCATTCTTTGCTCTCATAGTTTTACCTCGTATCAAAAATCGTTATTAGCTCTTAGCAACTTACACTTCAGCATTTCCCATTCACCAGCACATACCACCATATGACTATGAAATGTTCGGTCAATCTCTTGGGTTCATTGTGTCTTTTCGCACGAGTGTAACCAAGAGCCACACAAGTGCTTGTGGTGTGCACTTAATTTAAACGGCGACAATGACGAATCGGCGAGTTTTTTGCCGTTTTCTCAAGTCATATAGTATGTTGTACTTTCCAAGGTGTGGTAGGGACTACATGCTAATAAACGCTTGATGCAGTTTACATAAGGCTCACCTGATACACTATTGCAGCCTATTTACGATTCCCACCCCTTTCTATACTCTTTCGGTTTTGATCAGGTGCAATTTAGTCTAAAAGCTACGCTGACAGCTCTCTCTCTCTCTCCCACAGGCCATGGCCATGCCTGTGTTTGTATGATGTGGCTTAGGGATGTGTCGCTTTTAGGTCAACTGGAATTTAAGTAAAGCCCTGGCCTGTTGGCGTCAGGGTAATTAGGAAAAAAGTTAATCTTTCCATGACTAATCACAGGATATGGGGTTTATTTAAAGGTGGCTTCCAAGGCAATATAGTTAGTTGATGTTGTTACAGTTTCAGTTTCTTGATAACTTTAATTCATAAACTGTTCAACCTACACTCTTATTATCTGCTAACTTAACTTAGTAAATATCTACTGAAATGAATATATAAGTAATACATTAACGCGGACTGTAGAAAGAAGAAGGATATCGATCCCAGAATATCTGTACACATTTAAGTTTTAATGGAAGTCCCAAACACAATTATCGATTCTTTGCAAGTTGTTCACTTAGTGGTTCATAAATTGACTGTCGCTGTCGTTACCACAGGGAAGTTTGTTGTTTCTTTTTTTAAATAACACTAGTCGTATTTTGCTAACTTTTTTATGGCAAAAACGTTAATGGGGCTTGGCCTGAGTAAATAAAGTTTTTTTTAGAAGCCTCACTGATGAGCGGTTCATTTTGTGTATCACTCCTCATTGTTTACTAGTGCGAATAACCGTTCCTGCTAACTATCATAGTGACAGTATTGTCCCATAATAACGATTCTAACTTGGAAGGAGTTTCTGAGGGGAGATTTCCCACAATTTCGTCAAGTTACTCTCTTGATCATTATTTTTTGAAGTCTGTCCCTCTTAGTAATAAATCTCAATTGAAGGTGAAATAGTTCCTATGCCCTTCGTGCATTATTAAAGCCTCCTATTGGTGAACGGATTTTCGTCTTCGAGTTAAGGGGATATCTTAACAATTCTTTGGTTGATGTGTACTATCATTTACCCATTAAATTGTAAATAATCGATAATTTCACATAAATAGCCCCTCTCGGTGGGGATTCATGACTATGCAATTTGATGAGTAAATCACATATCGCTTTATTATCGATTACTTCTTCTTGCATTTTCTTTATCTCCTTACAGGTACTGTAGACGACTACGAACTATGGTATCCGCATAGGACCGATATCAAAGAGGATGATCCTAGTAATGGCTGTTTACTTGGAGTACGGGAAACCTCCTACAGACTGAAAGAAAATTCTTTGTACGTTTTCGTGGCTATTAAGCCCCTGTTTCCTCTCCACATTTTGGGCTTGTATCTCCATCTCTCTTTGTCACTTTCACTTCGTGTTTAGTCACATTATGATTATATGCGACAATTTTCCGTAGACCTGGAGGTAAATGGAGAATTATATTGAAAAAGAACGAGCATTTTGTGTTGGCTAATCAACGCTTTACTTCACCACCAGTCTTGGATACTTTGATTTTTTTTTCTGAATTAATTCTAAAAGTTGTTAAGTTGGTCAGCATGTAATATTTTGTTTGCATTTCTAGTGCTTAGGAAGGATTACTTTCTATAAAAATAGCGATAGAATGTTGGAATAGTGGAATTAATTCGTTAGTTAACAATAGGATTTCTAATGTCTTTTGTCTTTTTAGGTGCTTCTCTAACTCGGAGTTTCAATCGCTTCAATCGTACGAGGTTTGTGAATGCACGGAACTGGATTATGAGTGGTATGTCAATTGGCTCTTAAAATGTTGTTTTTCGAACTCAGTCTAAGGTTAATAATAATATGGATTCAATCTCAAACATTAGAAGAATAGTCAAGAGTGCTTGTACATCTAGGACAGTTTTGAGGTATATTTACAAAGTCATTCGCGCGTCCATTGGCTAAAATTTTGAGTAGTCCATTCATATGAGAATTCTCTGAATAATGCCACTCATATCCGATCGCCTATTCTAGCATAGCGTTTCTCCCTCAATGTCAGTGATTTTAGCGTGCGCTTCTAACCCCACATCCAGTCTGAATTTGTTGCATAATACGCTCTTTTCCCGACACCTTAATGCCTCTTTGTAACAAATATCCACTCAAAATTGATTGGCAGTATCTCCTGCTACTTCTATTGGAGGAGGAGGAATCTAATGAAACGAATTTAGCTCTATTTGATGGTGCGGTTCATCAATCACTGCGTATTAGAGAGACCTTTTAATCACACGCTAATGACCGTATCTCAACATCCGCGCACAAGCAATACCCATACTTTAATTTTGAATAGTGCATATGATTTACGTCTCTAGATTTCTCTCTTATTCCAACTAAAATATATATTTATGTATTCTCTTTCATTGGTTAACAGTGAGTGAATATTGAATCGTAATATTGTTCAATCAGATAATTGAATTATCGGAATAGATTTTATTGTAGGACATTACTTATTTCTAGATCAAGAAATGTTCCCAAGTTTTAATAATGCAATTGTATGTTAGTATCGGAAATAAAAAGAGGTAGATCAGTCAGAAGGTTCAAAATAGAGGGTTATGAATGGAATATTAAAATGTCTATTTAATTTTCAGTTCTGAAAACAGTGAGTTATTCATCTTCACAGAAATAATTTAAAGTTCACTTTGTTAAGTCCAAAGCTCAAGTTTCATGATATAATCCCAGGTGGTTGAGTGAGTTCATGTCTGTGGTATTCGGCGCTTGTTCACCGTTTGTTTTAATTTTACGATTAACCAAGTCGATTTGATTCATTCTCTTCCTGTCCT